AAGAAAGAAAGAAAAGAAAGAAGAAAGAAAAAAGGAAAGGAAAGAAAGAAGGGAAGGAGGGAGGAAGGAAAGGGAGAAAGAGAGAGAGGAAGAAAGCAAAGAAGGAAGGGAGGGAGAGTGGGAGGGAGGGAGGAAGGAAGGAAAGAGAGAGAAAGAAAAAAGAAAAGAAAAAAGAAAAGAAAAAAAGAAGGAAGGAGGGAGGAACTAGAGAGAGAAAGAGAGGAAGGAAGGAAAGAAGGGAGGGAGGGAGGAAGAGAGAAAAGGAAGGAAGGAAGGAAGGAAGGAAGGAGAGGAAGATACTGAGAGAGAGAAGTGAAGGGAAGGAAAGAAAAATGAGAGAGAGAGAGAGAGAGAGAGAGAGAGAGAATGAAACACCCAGGCTTAAATTTGGTCCCATGATCTCCTGGAATTTTATAATTTTCATGACATGTTAAAGTCTCAGAGAAGTCCTTTAACTGTGTTTCACCATTTCCTCCCCAAATTGTTTGACCACAGAACACTTCCCCTTTCTCCCTCCTTTTTTTCTCTTGTCCAACCTTTACCTGTTGACCTTTGTCATTTTGGAAACACTATGCTGATATACCTTTTGAGTCCATACGTTGGTTTATTTGTTAGCAAGCTTTGTTCTTTTTTTTTTTTTTTTTTTTTTTTTGCAAGCTTTGTTCTTATTACTATTAACTACGGTGCTAACAGCTTCATTTCTGAATATTTCTAGGTACAGAAATCGGAAAAGTAAAGAACCCAAGAAAGAATACGAAAGGGTGACTTCAAGGGATCCAGCATTGTCACAAGTCTGAATGAGGCCATTAAGCTAGGGACAGGGAGTCACAGCATGGCTAGTAATGTTACTATTCCTATTTTATTAATAATATTTATGTTGGATCACATGTTAAGTCGACAATGATGCATTTTTAATATACTTGTATTTTTTTATTTTTGTTTTATTTTTGACAGACTATTTGCTAATATATAATGTATAAGAAATATATAATATAGAAAAAAAGTCAATATTTTTGTAAGAAATAATTTCCTGGACTAAATGCTTTAGCTCCAAAGCTAGTTGCTGGCTGCACAATGTCTCAGAGAGAATGATGTCTAGCTTGTAGCTCAGGAAGTGTCACAGATGACAGATTTATGTTAAGCCTAAATATATGGTCAAATCAACTCAATAAGTGTATTTTCCTCCTCCTCCAGTTAACAATGATTGGTTTGACCGTACTGTAGTTCGATGTATAACTTGGTGCACGGTATTATGTATTAAAACACTAATGTGATGGGAATTGGGGAGAAGCCAGTCTAGATCCTGGGCTAAAGGCTACATACTGGGGACAACCTAAACTGGGAAGGACTGCATCCCACCCACATCCTCCACTGTGGCTGTGTTTAGTGCTCTGGAAGGCAGGTGGGCAGCTCCTTATTCCACCTCACAGCTCCTGAGGACACGAGTCACCCACCTCCAGCGTTTCCTTGCATTAAATGAATTGACAACTTCATTTCATACCATCTTTCATGTAAATAGTAGGCATTTTATAGCTTTTCTTTTCAGTACATTTATGTGAGGTAACTCGCTCACGAGACAATTAAAAAAAAAATCCACACTTGGAGCCCACATTTGGGCTTCTTTTCAAGAGTACCTCTTTTCGTAGGGACTTTGACTAAGAATCCTAAGATTAAATCATAGTCCAAAGTTTGAAGGACTAATCATCATTTTATAGCATAAGACAAGAATTCTATCTATTGTCCAAAGATGGAAATACAGTTATTTCATCTTCTATGAAAGAGTTTTAACTTAAAATAATGCAGTTAAGTAGCTCCTTCTACAACTTAAAATTACATGTTTAAAATAATCTCCTGATGTAGGAAATGGAAGAAATAGATCACAGTGTATTTTCCCAAATGAACAAATTCATTTGAAAACTTGTAAAATTTAGAGACTTAACCTAAATGCCTTCTTTTGGAGACTTGAGATGAAACCAGGACCCGGTCTTCTGTCTTTTGTTTATTCTGGGGGGAAGAGACAAAGGTTTCTCTTGTGCTTGAGCCCATGGTCTCGGTGAGTTAAGAAGGATACTTGGGGCAACCACATAAGGAACCGCAGTTGCCAACAGCTCCCCATCTCAGACTGAATACCAGACCCGGAGGTACAGTCTCTCAGCATCACACACCTTCTTAGGCAGGGTATATCTGTTTCCCACCTTTTTTCCTGGCAAGTGCTAGGGCAACAAAGAGACAATAAATCATGGCTGACTTCTGAATTGCCAGGTGCCAGGATTTGTCTCCTTATGGATCCCTTCATTGGTGCCCTGGTTTTTTTGTACGACTCTTTCCCAAAGTGTTGTATCTGGTCCCTTACCTTTAGGGGAAGAACGTGTGTGTGTGTGTGTGTGTGTGTAAAATATACATATATAAAATACATATAAAATATACAAATTCATATACAAATACACATGTACTCATGAGCCTGATCATAGAATTATAGTCATTTGTAGCTCTTTCAAAAATATATGAAACTTAAAAACAAGCTAAAGAGAAATAAAATGAAATTCAGTGAGATCTAAAAGGATATTTCTGGCTCCCATTTAATACAGCTGAAGTCAAATGTGCTGTGTAAGAACACATTTTAGGTCCTACACATCCTTACTGACACCTACTAGATGTAAACGGAGTCTTCCTATTGTAAGTGATCTTGATGGTGTCAAAGCAAATTGACTTACCGAGAAATCAACAGCAATTCACATATTTTATTTACAAAAAGGGAGTTATATTGGTCTGTCCTAAACATATCAACTCATATTATGTATGTAACTAATTGTAAATAGTTTGTGGTGTTTCTAATCTTAAGGATGCTCAAGAAACTAGCCCCTGTAAAATCTAAATCTTCATTTATAAATGGATATTAAGTAATAAAGAGATACGACCTAGACTGTGTTCTGTGGGTGAAAATAGGTCAGAAATAATTGTTTTATGAGGATAATGCTGAGCACACCTAGCAGATGGTTGCTGTCAGCTCACATTTCCTACAAACAATGGAAAGAGTTGGGTTCATATCTATCTTCCTTATTTTACAGATTTCTAACTATATATATTTCTAGAAGAGGCTATATTTACCCAATGTACTGAGAACAAATGCTGCCAGGGATTGTCAATTTTTATATTGGAAATACACGTACTAGTTTCTAATTTCTGTTGAAGTCAGTAATCTCATTTTGAAAAGCTCATGTCTGATCCGCATTGTCGTTTTTGCTTCAGTATCCACCTTGTGGACTTTGGAGGGAAAAAATGTGTTTAACTTGCTGCCCAATATTTTCTGATTTTTTTCTACTCTTACTCATATGGGAGAAAGGGAGTAACAACTTGCAAAGCAATGTACCTTTTTAATGTTTTAGCAAAAAGTAATTTTGTCTAAAACATGTCTGTTATTCACACTGGATGACACTAACTGTAAGATAGTATATTTTTCTCTTTGCTGTTTTTGCACTCTGTAATTGCACTTTTTAAGTTTCAAGAGCCATTTTGGTATACAGTTTATATTGAAGATGCTATGGAACATAAAGTTGTATTGCATACAGTTTAAACTAACTTATTTGACAATGGATTTTATCAGAGTACTGAATTGTATCAATTTGTTTGTGTTCAATATCAACTTTGATAATTGTGTACCTTAAGATATTGAAGGAGAATATAATACTTTACAAGATGTTGTTAATGTTTATTTATTTTTGTTGGGAACTGGAAAAAAACACAACTAAGAAATAAAAATGCATTATGTATCGTGCGTTAAAGAGTTTCACCGGTAAATGGAGTCTCTCTCTTTTTTCTTTTTTTTTTTTTTCATATTAAGTAAAAATAGTGACAGGGCTACAATGTGTTTAGATATAAAGACTTAGAAAGGTAGAAAGATAATAGTCTTAGTTTGGGAAAGCATCATATAAATATTTATGGCTTACTACCATGAAGAATTTCTTTGAAATTAGAAAGAGCTACATTCATTATAAAATTTTAGTTATTATTTTTTAAAATATTTTCAAGGAGTATTTAAAAAGAGTATTTCTAAAAAGGACTGATATCTATGGAGAAGTAATTTATGCAAGGACACATTAGCTGGAGTGTGTCTCTTGATTCCGTCAGCATGGGCCAACAGAGAGGCTTGGCTTCTGTGGACCTCCAGGGCAAGAAATTTTGGTCCCTCCGAACCTCAGTCACAGTGATGGTGTCCTTGGTACATACGTCAACAACCTGCAGAGTGCTCTACCCACTGATCAGCTCTTTGAATCGTTTCATTAGCTTATGCGTAGAGCAGAGAGGCATAACTATGATCGTTTGATGGGAGAGGAAATAGTTTGTCTGGAGGCACCGTGGTAGTAAAAGGCTGGCATGAGAAGTAAGGTCTACTGATTGCCTAGGTCTGGCCGTGTCAGGCAGCAGAGGCATCCTGTGAGTTAAGGCTCAGATGCAGTTTAGAATTTTCTGAGGAGAAACATAAATTCTTGTAAAATGAAATCTTGTGATCTCACAGCCCTCAGATTGACTCTATTCAAAGTCTGAGAACCCAGAGGGTTAAGGAAAAGAATGCTCTGAAGCACTTTTTCCACTTGGCTTCTGGAACAAGACATTACTCTTATTTTTAACCGGCCGCTTTGTCTCCTGTGGGATCTTCCTTAATATCTCCTGTCCCCCACCACTGGCATATCCTCAGGTCTCCATCTTGGAAATTTTTTCTGTATATATCCACTCTCTATTTTATTTCATAAATTTCTGTGCCTTTATTATCATCTATATACTGATTCAACTTAGATATTTTCTCCGAGTCCTAGACTTCTTTTTCTAAATTTTTATTTAAATTCAATTTAGTTAACGTATAGTGTATTATTAGTTTCAGGGGTAGAATTTAGTGATTCATCAGTTGCATTGAACACCAAGTGCTCATTACTTCAAGTGCCCTCCTTAATGCTCATCACCCAGTTACCCCATCTCCCCACCTACCTCCCCTCCAGTAACCCTCAGTTTGTTCCCTGTAGTTAAGTGTCTCTTATGGTTTGCCTCCCTCTCTATTTTTATCTTATTTTATTTTTCCTTCTCTCCCCCATGTTCATCTGCTTTGTTTCCTAAATTCCACATATGAGGGAAATCATATAGTATTTGTCTTTCTTTGACTGACTTATTTCGCTTAGTTTAACACCCTTTGGTTCCATCCATGTCATTCAAAGGCCAATATTTCATTCTTTTTGATGGCTGAGTAATATTCCTGTGTGTGTGTGTGTGTGTGTGTGTGTGTACCACTTCTTCTCTATCCATTCATCTGTTGATGGACATCTGGACTCTTTCCATATTTTGGCTATTGTAGTCCTAGACTTCTTTATCCAGCTACCTATGTAACATTTCCACTATACAGTGGATATCCACTAGACATTCAAAAGTAACATGTTCAATAATTATTTCCCTAAAACATTGTTCATTATAAAATGTTTCTATCTTAGTTCAATTTAATTTCATCCTTCCTGCACTTTAGGTTGAAAATCTGGTATGATCCTCTGGAGGTGTCAAATGACTCACTTTTAAGAAATTTGAGAGAGGATTACTCTCAACTTTTTACAGCAATGTAAAAACTACTCATTTTGAAGAGATTCTGCAGAAGGAAGAAAATTCCAGGAAACCAGAGTTAGAATATCACAATTTTCTTAAGGTGAAAATTATAGGTCCTTAATTTGACTTTGACAAATTCTAGAACATATTTATCCTCAAATGGTCATAAAATATTATAAAACATAAGTGCTATCCATTAATTTCTAACATGGATTTATTAAGAAAGAGACATAAAACATGTGTCTCTTTTCAATATCCCATCCGGTCACCAGCTAGTGGTAACTATTCATCATGGTAAACCAAACACGGAGAGCCCATTCAATCTATCTGAATTTCAGCGAAATATTTGGGAAAAGTCTTCCAA